TATATATATATATGCAATCTGGATGAGTCAGTGCTATTTTCCAAAAGTCTTCAGACTATGAATCCATCCAGTTGGAGGAAATCAAACATGTTTGATATTTTGAGACAATTTTAGAACATATTGTTTTCATTTGTCACACATCTCCTAGCAGCAATGTGCATGTTTCTGTGTGAGTTTGTTGTGATCAGAACGACTTGAAAGTCTGGTAGTGTGTGATCCTAGGTCATTTAGTACATGATACCCAGTTTTTCTCTGTAACTATGTCAAAGTCTGCAAGTGTATGATGCCTAGTGTTTAAAAAAATCTGGATCTGAACATCACTATTCTCATAAATTTTGAATGAGTATTAAAATTTTGTAGTTATAGTTATCATCCTTGGAGTGAACAGGCCTTTAGGAAAGAAAAATCACAAATGAGGTTTATTTAAAATATCAGTTCTTTCATAGAAAAGCAGTGTGATTAAAAGCATCTCAGCTAAGATTTTCTCCTGTGAAAAAATTAATTTTTGTCCAATTAATGCAGTCACAAATGAGCTGTGATGATTCATTAAAACTCTGCACACTTACACAAATTGTCTAATTTGTGTGTAATTGTACTGCTCCTAAAAAACATTTACTTAAATGAAACAACAACAACAAAAAATCCCTTTGATAATTCCTATTCAGTCTGAACTGCATTTATGATTTAGCCGGATGGCTGCTGTAAGAGCCTGAGGTTTCGGTTAGATCAGCACACTAATGGGTTCATCTGGTTTAACAGTGCACCCCTAATAGTGAGACTTGCATAATGAACATTTCCGAATGAATTTCGTTCCTTTTATTGATAGAGTGTAATTATGTAATGCTTCCAGTCCAGTTGTCTTATCAAACTTTTATTCAAGAAATCAGCAGCGGTGATCTCTTCACAGTTGCTATAATAACCTCAGTGTTGTAATCCCTGGTGGGTTATTCATCATGTCTGCTGTGGGTTATGGCATGTATAATGTATTTCGACAGCAGTAACCAGTCCTTCACACACAACAGTGTTTACAAGATGATCTTAAATATTTGTTATGTTTTTGACAATCCATATGCTCAACAAGGATGCATTTGATTAAAAATACAGTAAAAACAAATATAATTGCACTTTAAAGTAGCAGTTTTCTATTTGAAGATATTTTAAACTGTATTTTATTCCTGTGTTTTTTTTTCAGCATCACTACTCCAGTCTTCAGTGTCGCGTGATCCTTCAGAAATCATTCTAATATGCTGATTATTATTATCAATGTTGAAAACAGTTGTGCTGCCTATTTCTGTAGAAACTGTGATACATTTTTTTGCCACTTCTGTTCAATTTAATGCATCCTTGCTGAATAAAAGTAAACAAAAAAAACCATCTTACTAACCCCAAGCGTTTAAATAGTAGTAGTGTATCGCAGTCTAATTAACCAGCAGTCATAAGTGAACATTGCACTTTACTCACTTTAGATTTCAGTTTAATTTTGCATTAGCATGCTGCTAAAAAACACCATTTCAATTGTATTTAATTATTGTGTTGATTTTAAGCTTTGAAAGTATAAATCAGACTTTGTCCTCCATTTTGGGTGGACTTTTTTTTACATTATGCTGCATAATAGGATTTTCCTCTCCATGGAAAATACATGCTACGCTGTCTGAATTTGTTATCTCAGAAGGCAGTATAATTATACCTTCATGTGCTTTAAGCTACATGTACGCCGCTCACTAGATTTTGGAACTGAGCCACATATGTTGATTCATATAATTAACGGCTGAAAACAAGACATGATGTGCCATGGGGTCATTAAACTGATTTCAAATGTATCTGTTTAGTACTTTACACAATACAAATCTTGCTAAAGCAGCTTTACAGAAAATAGAATAAAGCCTAACAAACCCTCAGTGAAGAATCCAAAGCCGACTGTGGCAGGAAAAAAATCTGCCTACAGCATAAGCTTACCTAAAACTTTACCACTATACTCTCTCGCTGCCAGGCATATAACGATGGAGCAAAACAGTGAATTGAATACCATTTTCCAACTCCCCTAGAGTTAAACAGTTGAGTTTAACCGTTTTCGAATCCATTCAGCCGATCTCCGGGTCTGGCGGTAGCACTTTTAGCTTAGCTTAGCATAGATCATTGAATCTGATTAGACCGTTAGCATCTCGCTCATAAATGACCAAAGAGTTTCTATATTTTTCCTATTTAATGATGATGATCAATGATCCGTAATGATATTACGCAGCGCCTGAAAATAGGCTTATTGGAAGTTACCTAGCTGGGACTATTTTCAGGTGCTGCGTAATGTCATTGAGCCTGCTGCACCCATGGTACGGCAGTAAAGCTCCTTGATTATTACGCCGGAATGAGAGTATAGTTCCTAGCCATATCGGCCTAGAAAATCGCAGCTTTTCCTTTTCCATCGGTCTTAGTACACGATGTAACTACCGAAGAGTCAAGTTTTAAATAGGAAAAATATAGAAACTCTTTGGTCATTTTTGAGCGAGATGCTAACGGTCTAATCAGATTCAATGATCTATGCTAAGCTAAGCTAAAAGTGCTACCGCCAGACCCGGAGATCGACTGAATGGATTCAAAAACGGTAAAACTCAACTGTTTAACTCTAGGGGAGTTGGAAAATGAGCCTATTTTCAAAAATAGCGGAGTGTTCCTTTAAATAGCGAGAGATTACCTGTGAGAGGAAGAAGTAAAGATGCTATAGGCCACGTCCAGCTGCGACAGAGCTAGAATTCTGACACAGGCCACACATTGAAACAATCGGCTTAGTCTGTCACAGACATTTGGGAAATCTTTTGTTTTTGCAGCTGAGGACTTGTCGGATTGTGGAGAATGCCACTGCTGGCACAAAAATCTCAGCGCGTAGGAAAGACCATCAGAAGAAAAGGGACAGACAGAGAAAATGTGACAGTATGCTGGAATGCTTGACTATGGGAGCACAGTTTGTCTGCCAGAACGGTTTGTAAAAAAAATAATAATAATAAAATAAAAGTGGTCAAACTTAAGATCTTCAAAACAGTAGTAAGTTTTGGTTTTAAAGGAACAGTTCAATTAAACATCAAAAATCTGTAATTTACTCACACCTCATTTTGTTCCAGATTTTTTTCTATGTAAAACAAAAGATATTTTGAAAAATAAAACGTCTTGGTTGTTTATAGACTCTGATGACTTTCACTGCCATAACCTTTTATGCTATTTTCAGGAGAAAAAAAAATACATTTTTGACTGTAAATGTGTCATGTGGAGTAACCATCAAGTAGAAAGTATCTTTTGTATCAGATTATTTAAAAAAAAAAAAGTTTTTTTTTTTTTTTCATTATCATGAATTAAAGGGGTCATATGATGCGATTTAAATTTTTCCTTTCTCTTTGGAGTGTTACAAGCTCTTGGTGCATAAAGAAGATCATAATGTTCTTTTTAGCAGCATCATATGACCCCTTTAATAAATATCATTTTTGGGGAAGTTGCACCACGTGACATTTCAAGAGACTTACTGACCTCAATACACAGTTATGAGTCTTATATGATAGCATTTGGTAGTGCCATTAATTTGAGTTTGTGTAATAAAAACAACGTAAAATGTAAAGCAGTTTTGTTAAAATATTATATTTCTTTTCCATTAAATATTAAGGTAAGATTATGCCAAACTATGTAATACATTTTGTTTGTTTTTTACCCATACAATGGAGTTGTTCTGGAGCCCATTTATTTTCACTATATGGACAAAAACATTCTTCAAAATGTTTATGTTGCACTGAAGAAAGAATGGATTAGAATGACGAGTGTACGGTGGCCGAGTAGTGCAAAACAAATCACAATTCTGAAAACAAAATAACAAATTACAAACGCAAATGCAAGTTTAAAAAACTAAATAACAATTCAGAAAACAAAACAACAATTCAGAAAACATTATAACAAGTCAGAAAACACAATGACAAATTCGAAAACAAAATAACAAGTCAGAAAACACAACGACAAATCAGACAAACCGGAAGAGGTAGGTATAGTTTGAGACAGCGCCATTGGTTTGGGATTACTCACCGCTGACTGGACGAGACATCTGTCAATCAACGTATACAGGGAAGAACCGGCCGAAGAACAGCAGAGTCCTGGTAGAAAGTTCGGAGATGGTATTAAAGTAGCTCAGTTTAAATGTATTGTATGAATTGCCCTTACTATGGAATAAAAAATACGGGGTGTCTATTTACATTTAGTTAAAAGTAGCTGTAAAATAACAGCTCCAGTGGTGCAGATGGATAAGCGCTAGTTGTTGGCTTTTTGACGCGATCGACCCGGGTTCGATCCCGTCTTTTGCCGAACTTTTTTTTCCTCCCTTTTCAAATCTCGTATTAGCAATGGATTCTATTTAAAATAGCAGTATTTTTAGCAATATGCTATTTACACTAAGTGCAAATACCTATTTACACTATGTTAAAATAGCAGGATTTCTACTATCAAGTATACTACTTGTTGCAAATAGTGGCAATTATCTGCACTTCAGTATTGTAGTACATTATAAAACAGTATCCAATAATAACGTATTGAGTGTAAATTATAATTTTAATTATTAAATGGATGCCACCTTATTGGTACAATAAAGCCCTCCCTACACCTACCCTAACCCTACCCGATACTTTATTTTCAACTTTTTGATTATTTCCTTAATTTTTATTGAAAATAAATGCCTTTACGATGTGATACAAGATTTGAAAGGGGAGGGGAAAAAAGTTCGGCAAAAGACGGGATCGAACCCGGGTCGATCGCGTCAAAAAGCTAACGACATGCGCTTAACCATCTGCACCACTGGAGCTGTTATTTTACAGCCACTTTTAACTAAATGTAAATAGACACCCCGTATTTTTTATTCCATAGTAAGGGCAATTCATACAATAAACATTTAAACTGAGCTACTTTAATACCATCTCCGAACTTTCTACCACGACTCTGCTGTTCTTCGGCTGGTTCTTTCCTGTATACATTGATTGACAGATGTCTCGTCCAGTCAGCGGTGAGTAATCCCAAACCAATGGCGCTGTCTCAAACTATACCTACCTCTTCCGGTTTGTCTGATTTGTCGTTGTGTTTTCTGACTTGTTATTTTGTTTTCGAATTTGTCATTGTGTTTTCTGACTTGTTATAGTGTTTTCTGAATTGTTGTTGTGCTTTCTGAATTGTTATTTAGTTTTTTAGACTTGCATTTGCGTTTGTAATTTGTTATTTTGTTTTCAAAATTGTGATTTGTTTAGCACTTCTCGGCCACCGTACGAGTGTGAGAAAACTATTCAAAGATTTTCATCTTTAGATGAACTCAACCTTTATAGATGGCTGCGATGTATGTACATTCCAAAACAGTGATTTTACCATGCTTGTACCACACTCAGCCAGCTGCCATTAAGGCACCAGTTTGACATGTAACTGACGTACATACTGGCTCTCTCAGGTGGAACTGCTCCCCTTTACCTTACAGACAGCTATAAGAACAGAAATGAGATATATCGAGACAAAAATATCCTGTTTTGGAAATCTGAATGACAGGTGCATCTGTCACAGAAACTGCAGTTTTGACAGGAGGAAAAAATAATGCCGGCATTTAACAAACCACCTGCTGGAATGGGCAACAGGAGCCTGTGGGGGTCATTAGAGTTGCGTTACGATTCACAGGTTCCTACACACTCACTCTCCTCAGGGGACGTCTGTAGAAGTTCACTCCACTTGACAAAATTCATTCATTTGAAATGCCCTGCAACCAAATCATACAACTATTGAGCCATGGGATTTCAAGTGTGCTGACATAATATATTTGTGTAAATATATGCATATTTTTCAAATAAATGTTGTTCTTTTGAACTTTCTATTCATTAAAAACACATGGTTTAAAAATATTAAACAGTTCAACTGTTGTCAACATTGATACAAATAAGAAATGTTTTTTGAGCAGCAAATCAGCATATTAGAATGATTTCTGAAGGATCATGTGACACTGAAGACTGGAGTAATGATGCTGAAAATTCAGCTTTGACATTTTTAAATATTTGACATTTTAAAATATGTGACCCTGGACCACAAAAGCAGTCTTAAGTCGCTGGGGTATATTTGTAGCAATAGCCAAAAATACATTGTATGGGTCAAAATTATAGATTTTTCTTTTATGCCAAAAATCATTAGGATATTAAGTAAAGATCATATTCCATGAAGATATTTTGTAAATTTCCTACTGTAAATATATCAAAACTTAATTTCTGATTAGTAATATGCATTGCTAAGAACTTCATTTGGACAACTTTAAAGATGATTTTCTCAGTATTTAGATTTTTTTGCACCCTCAGATTCCAGATTTTCAAATAGTTGTATCTCGGCCAAATATTGTCCTATCCTAACAAACCATACATCAATGGAAAGCTTATTTATTCAGCTTTCAGATGATGCATAAATCTCAATTTCGAAAAATTGACCCTTATGACTGGTTTTGTGGTCCAGGGTCACATACTGTATATTCAAATAGACAACAGTTTTTTTTTTATTGTAATATTTCACAATATTATTGGCTTGGTGAGCATAAGAGACTTTACTGACCCTCAATTCTTTTTTCAACTTTTGAATGGTATACAGTGTTTATAAACACAGATAGATAAATAGTAACTCTTATGTTCTCACTGACAATGGTAGAGAGAAAAGATGAAGCAGGAAAATATCGATGTCTGCTGTAAAGGTCACACATGTATTACATGGGTTCAAGGGGGAAGCAAATGCTCTTTTACAGATTCTCTGGCAACAGAAGGAGAAAGAGTCTTGAGGAGAAATCAATATGAATGGATGTCCATGCAACTCACAGTTTTTTCACATTCGCTTTAAGCTAGGTTCTTGGCCTGTTAGTTGTAGGTCCTTGTTATTTTTGAAGTCATTTGCCAGTTAATGATCTCATGTCTAGATATCCGTGAGTCATTTCTCCCACTAGATAGCATTCAGTCTTAATTACCCTTTAAATGCCTGAAACGACTGCATACTGATAGTCATGAGAGGGATTACAACATTAATTTAACATTTTATTTGAAAATTAAAAATATTATATATATATATATATATATATATATATATAGGCTAAAAACATTTTATTAATTTATAAATATAATTTATTATATTTATTGAAATTAAATCAATCATTATTATAATTAATTATTATAAATTAATAAATATATGAATAATTTCTTCGAATATTTTTTTGGTTCTAAGAAACAATGTTAAAATATTCTGCTGTTTTTCTCAATAATTTCATTATTCTTATTTTATTATGAGTTTTTGTTTTTCATTATATCAAGACAGTTATATCACCCTGACTTTATGCCACCAAAAAATATCCAAATTAATTCTTATACACAAATTAAAAACACGTTTCAAAAAGTCCACATTTCCAAAAATATTTTGAAATGACATTAGTTTGTTTCCACCATGGCATAAAAAAAAATTCAAAAGCAATTGTGAAATCTCCCAATTCGTACTTTCTAAGAAAAGTCACAATTACATTTTTATTTGTGTATTCCGCTGCGAAAATGGGCTTCCATAATAAAATGACTAGATAAGATGGAGAAAAAAAAAGAGCATCACGTGCAAATGAGAGCGTTGTTAGAACTAAAAGAAAAGGCGAGCTGTTTTATTTTTCCGTTTGGGGCGGGTGCAGGAACGCATCACCTCATTAACTTCAATTGATCTCCATATACGCTGACAGAGCATCATTAATCCACACCACAGGCAACACAATGCCAGTGCATATCATACGATGATCAGATCACAGTAGGATGTATCAATGGATGAATTTCCTTCAGTGTGTCTGTACATTATTTCTCAGCATCAGGCCTGCATATTTGATCAAAGAAGAGATCCTGCAAGTTTGTGATTGCACCCTGCTGATTCATTCTGTATATTTGCAGGGAGCTGGTGGGTGCAAAGCCTTTTGGGAATGAGTGGATGAGTCCAGAGGCAATCAGATGAGGTGATGACAGGGGCACGGCTGCACACCGGCTCCTCCGGTCGATAAAGCCATTACACACCCAGTCAGGATCTGCCTTACAGAACGCACATCTCCACTGCACAACAGCTGTAGTGCGGGTTATGCGTTATATCTCAGATTTTATAACAGGTCGCATCAATTATTTCTCTTCAAATCTGTCTATGACCTACAAAATGCAGCCTGGAGTGACATGCGCTCTTAACAATAAGCTCTTCTGAGCAGGCTAGTTACTTTTAAGTGAAGGATTTAACAACGTATCTGTCAGGGCATTAAATCTAATCCAGATATGAATCTGCCAGACAATAATGAAGTGAAAATGAGCCTTAGACAAATAATTGGTCATGTGCTAGCATACTTTATGCTCTCGTCAATCTATTATAATGCAGCCTTGATTAACTGAATGAGGCTAATGTGCTGTTAGCATAAATCAGTGGAAGACAGGAGGGCTGGTGGACATGCTGGAGGGTGATGTATGAGATTTGGGTAATCCAAAATCTACGACAACAACATGCAAACTCGTTCTGTGTAGAATATGACAATACATCTTTCAGTGTATTGTTAACGTTAGCATCTAGTAGCTTTTGTTTTAGTTGCATTTCTGATGAATGTCGGGAATAATACGTTCTTAAAAAAAAAAAAAAAAAAGATTTCAATATAAAATGCCTTTTGAAGACCATTTTACTTGCATAATCTTATATTACAGAGTGAAACGTGATATTTGATGAGGAGACAACATGCAGGATGAGACAGATTTGGGAAAAGTGGAGCAGGTGGTTGGACAGAAGAGATTTGAGACATCATCTGAAAAGCCAAGATGTCTACAGTTTAACCCTTTCACATTAGTTTAATATTTCTTGATGTTTCTGTATTTGCTTAAAAAAAAAAAAAAAGTTCACCCACAAAAATGAAAAGTTGCTGAAAATGTACTCCCACTAAGGCCATCCAAGATTGTAGTTTGTTTCTTCAAGTGAACAGATTTGGAAAATGTAGCATTGCATCACGTGCTCACCAATGTATCCTCTGCAGTGAATTGGTGCCGTCAGAATGAGGGTCCAAACAGCTGATAAAAACATCACAATAATCCACAAGTAGGCTAATCCACACCACTCCAGTCCATCTATTAACGTCTTGTGAAAAGCATGCATGCTTGTAAGAAATAAGTACATCATTTTAACTTTAATTCTGGCCAAAATACAAGTCTTTAATCTATAATAACACTTCCTCCAGTGAAAAAGTTGTTCCCCTGTTGTCCTCTCACATGAAAATCCACTAACATATTTGTTTAGAACTGTTTTCACATGTGAACGGTGCTTGACCTGTGCATATTTCTCTCCTGATTCAGACAAGATGTCTTCACTGGAGGAATTCAAGAATATTGAATAGAGGAGTCGTATTTTAGCCGGGTTTATTTGTTTCTTACAAACTAGTGATGTTAGGCTCTTGAACGAATCGTTCTTTTGAGCCGGTTCTCTGGAAAGTAACCGGTTCACAAATCGAACTGAATCGAACTTTAGTTCGGGGTTGATGACGCAGGACGCACAGCCGAAGTAGCACGTCCAACTCAAAAAGAACCGAATGAGCCGGTTCAACCAACTGTCGAAGTTTCCCGAGGACTCAACAAGAACCGAATGAGCCTGGCGAAGTTTGCCGAGGATTACCGAAGATTCTGATGAGTGAGTTGACGATAATGTGCAAGCCTGAGGCGCGTACTGGAAATATGCTTGTTTATTATGACTGCAATTAATTTACATTTTATTAAAACCTGCAAAAACCTTTCTGTCGAGTGATGTAAATAAATTTTACAATAGTTTATTGTGCATGCATATTATATTTAAAGTTGCTTAAGCGAAATCAAGGAGTTTATAAGACTGGTTTATTCATTGGCACTGAGTTGTTAGAAAATAAATGCGTAGAGACGTTATTGCTTGATGACGTCAGGAACCGATTAATCGGCTTTTTGAACCGGTTCAATTAGCCGATCTGTCCGAAAATAACCGGTTCGCGGAAATTAATCGGACTTTGCATCACTATTACAAACAGGCAGCTTTTGGCTTCACAAGACGTTAATTGATGGACTGGAGTGGTGTGGATTACTTGTGGATTATTGTGATGTTTTTAATCAGCTGTTTGGACCCTTATTCTGATGGCACCCATTCACTGCAGAGGATCCATTGGTGAGCAAGTGATGCTAAATTTCTCCAAATCTGTTCCTATGAAGAAACATCTCGGATGGCCTGAGAAGGAGTGCATTTTCAGCAAATTTTCATTTTTGGGTAAACAACTTTTATATAAATACATTTTAAATAAATAAATAAAAGATTTTAACCCCTTTGTCCCCAGAGGAACAATCATTTTGACCAAACAGCAATTGTTGGAAAGTAGATTTGATATGTTTAATGTACATTACAGTAAAACATCTGATACAAATGAGGTAGTGGCTTGCACTTATGACATATTTGAGTACATTTTGTGATAATGTGAGTTTGTTTTTATTTATTACAATATTTATATTCATACAAATCTCTAAGCATTGCGATGGAGGATGTTCCCGATTGAATTGTCGCAGACTAGCTAAATAATAACCACTGACACTATAGAGGTCATTTAACCCTGTAAAGCCTGACATAATGTAATAATACATAGTAATGTAAAAAAATATAATATTTTTTCTCCAGAAACCTTTTGACAAAATCTTAAAATAAATAAA